ATTCTGTAGTTGCTATTGTTCATTTTTATACATTTCAGGCTTCTTTTCAAGAGAATAATGTACCAGTTTTGAAGATTCACTACATAAAAGTGGCATCTGTCAGCTATATCCCTAAGAAACTGTTCTAATTTACAGGAAGCAGGTGTTTTACTACAAGATTTTCTTTAGTCAGTGATGTGCAATTTTTTTTCTAGTAAAAGTGTTTCAGAGAAACCAAAATAATAATTTCTTTCTTCTTAGAAAATAATCCATACATTGTATTTTATTTCTTTTTATTTTTTTTGTCTTTATTTTATTTCAATAGTTTTTGTGGTACAAGTGGTTTTTGGTTACATGGATAAGTTCTATAGTAGTGATTTCTGAGATTCTGGTGCACCAGTCACCCAAGCAGTGTACACTGTACCCAATACATAGTCTTATCCCTGACCCCCTTCCCACTCTTCCCCACTAGTCTCCAAAGCCTTTGCATCCTCATGGCCTAGCTCCCACTTATAAATGAGAACACGCGGTTTGGTTTTCCATTCCTGAGTTACTTCACTTAGAATAATGTCCTCCAGCTCCATCCAAGTTGCTGCAAAGGCCATTATTACATTCTGTTTTATGGCTCTGTAGCATTCCATGATGTATACATACCACATTTTCTTTATCCACTTGTTGGTTGATGAGCATTTAGGTTGGTTTCATATGTATGGAATTGCAAATTTTGCTACTATAAACATGCTGGTTCATGTGGCTTTTTCATATAATGGCTTCTTTTTCTTTGGGTAGATACCCAGTTATGGTACTGCTGGCTTGAATGGTATTTCTACATTTAGTTCTCTAAGGAATTTCCATACTGTTTTCCATCATGATTGTACTGATTTACATTCCCACCAGCAGTGTAAATGTGTTCCTTTTTCAGCACATCTGTGCCAACATCTATTATCTTTTGATTTTTTAATTATGGCCATTCTTGCAAAAGTAAGGTAGTATCTCATTTTGGTTTTAATTTGTATTTTCTTGATAATTAGTGATACTGAGCAGTTTTTCATATGTTTGTTGACTGTTTGTATATCTTTGCTTGAGAATTGGCTATTCATGTCCTTTGCCCACTTTTTCATGGGGTTATTTGGATTTTTCTTGCTTATTTGTTTAGATTCCTTAATGTCCTTTGGAGAAAGATTTTTTACTTTTTTATTTTTTATTATACTTTAAGTCCTAGGGTACATGTGCACAATGTGCAGGTTTGTTACATATGCATACATGTGCTATGTTGGTGTGTTCCACCCATTAACTCTTCATTTACATTAGGTATATCCCAATGCTATCCCTCCCCACTCCCCCCACCCCACGATAGGCCCTGGTGTGTGATGTTCCCCTTCCTGTGTCCAAGTGTTCTCATTGTTCAATTCCCACCTATGAGTGAGAACATGTTGTGTTTGGTTTTCTGTTCTTGCTATAGTTTGCTGAGAATGATGGTTTCCAGCTGCATCCATGTCCCTACAAAGGACATGAATTCATCCTTTTTTATGGCTGCATAGTATTCCATGGTGTATATATGCCACATTTTCTTAATCCAGTCTGTCATTGAGGGACATTTGGGTTGGTTCCAAGTCTTTGCTATTGTGAATAGTGCCACAATAAACATACGTATGCATGTGTCTCTATAGCAGCATGATTTATAATCCTTTGGGTATATACTCAGTAATGGGATGGCTGGTTTGAATGATATTTCTAGTTCTAGATCCTTGAGGAATCACCACACTGTCTTCCACAATGGTTGAACTAGTTTACAGTCCCAGCAACAGTGTAAAAGTATTCCTATTTCTCCACATCCTCTCCAGCACTTGTTGTTTCCTGTTTTTTTAATGATCACCATGTGAGATAGTATCTCATAGTGGTTTTGATTTGTATTTGGAGAAAGATTAAATAAAGGATTTAGGTTCAGTTATAAACTTGTTGATGATATCTATGTGTCCCCAACTTGATAACTCAGCAAGATACCCGAGAGCTTTTAAAAATAAAGATTCTGGCCAGGCGCAGTGGCTCACACCAGTAATCCCCGCACTTGGGGAGGCTAAGACAGAGGGATCACCTGAGGTTAGGAGTTTGAAATCATCCTGGCCAACTTGGTGAAACCTCATCTCTACTAAAAATACAAAAATTAGCTGGGCATGGTTGCTGCCACCTGTAATCCCATCTACTCAGGAGGCTGAGGCAGGAGAATCGCTTGAACCTGGGAGGCAGAGGTTGCAGTGAGAGTGAGAATGCACCATTGCACTCCAGTCTGGGAGACAAGAGTGAAACTCCATCTCAAAACAAACAAACAAACAAAATGAATAATAATAAATAAATAAAATAAAAAATAAAGATTCCCCTTAAAACTTGGTCCATTGAGAGTTGACTGGGTGCAGGAGGAGGTGAAGACCTGATTACCCTGTGGACTAGTGGACAGCTTATATTTTGAGCTGAAGGAAGCAGGTGAAAATACTAGAAGAGCACTGAAGCTAAGAACTTGTGAAGTCATAAGATCCCTGGGTTTGGCACATCCTTTCCGTTTAAGTGATGCTCTGAGTTCCATCTGAACTCCTTTTAATTTCCTTAGGAAAAAATGGACAAAGCTCCAGAGAACTAATTAATGGTCCATTTGTGATAAAAAATTTTGCAACTATGATCAAAATATCCCTTCCAAAGATAAGAATCCATGAGCTGTAAGAGTATTTGCTCCCAGAGGCAGTGTAAGAGACCAGGAACAAAAGATCAAAAACAGGCAAATACCTTCTGTTTTACCAGTATTGTGAGTGAATAGGCCTGATTTAAATATCTGCTTTAAAGGTGCCTACTGCATTTTGAGAATGTGGATGACTTAGGGAGGGTTTACAGGATTATTTTATTAACAACACAGAAGGTTCATTTTATATAACCTTTTTAGCATTTTGAGGTCCTTTTCTGGCTTTCAGAGATATTTTCATAATTCTAAGACCTGTCTTTGAAGTCACAGGGCAGGAGCATAGCCTTTGTTTTGTGGTATTTGGAAAGAAGCTGTACTTCTTTTAGCTTTCCTCATTTCAGAAAATGCAGGCTGATCATATATTCTAGTGTGCCTAGAGTTTTGGATTGCACAAATAGTCACAATACTTGTCAGTAACTCTCATCAAATGGTGGAGTCTAGTTCTCCACTCTTTAAATCTGGGACTGACCTTGTAACTTTCCTTAATATATCAAATATAGTAAAAATGATGAGGTACAAGATGTACGAGTTATGAACCCAGGCTTCAAGAGGTCTTAGATTCAACTTTTGTTGCCTGTAGAATGCCATAGTTATCATGTGGAAGAGCCAACCCTGTGGATAATAAGACAAGCTGCACATTTGCTGACAACTGCCAGAGCTGTGAGCCTAGAATGATTCAGAAGCTATCTTAGAACATTCAGCCACCAACTGGCCTGCATTCTATCTATGAGTCCAGAGAAAATCAGCCAAGCAGGCCCAAGCCACAAAATCCTCCTAAGCGACCCATAGAATCATGAAATTAAAAAAATATATTGTTTAAATCCAATGGCTAGTATGCTATGTAGCAAAAGCTATCTGATATGCCTGGGACAGTCTTAGCTTACACCTGTTGTCATAGAGTAATTATTGGTATTGCATCTTTTTAACAATTCTTAATTTTTTTTTAAGTTCTGGGGTACATGTGCAGGACGTGCAGGTTTGTTACATAGGTAAATGTGTGCCGTGGTGGTTTGCTGCACGTATCAACCCATCACTTAGGTATTAAGCCCAGCATGCTTTAGCTACTTTTTCTAATGCTCTCTTTCCCCCTGCCCACCTCCCACAGGCCTCAGTGTGTGATGTTCCCCTCCCTGTGTCCATGTGTTCTCATTGTTCAGCTCCCACTTACAAGGGAGAAGCGGTGTTTGGTTTTCTGCTTCTGCGTTAGATTGTTGAGGATAGTGGATAATACATCCTTTTATTCTCAAACTATCCTTGTTTGAGTATGTTGTATAGTCAACTTCAGTAAATAATACCACCATTTACTAATTTGCCAAACAAGTACTTCTTTTGTGCGTTGGATTGAGGAGAAGGCAAAATAACAGTGGCTCATCCTACTACAAGTCTTGTCCTTTATCATTTTTTTTTTTTTGTTTTGTTTTTCAGATTTCAGCATTTTAAAAAAAGTCCCTTTGAAATAGACAAATAGACTAATTCTTTCTACAGGTGTTTTTCTGACAAGTGAAACAATATCTTAGAATGATATGTCATAATGCCACCTCAGCGTAGCTTTGAAAATGATGAGTTTTGCTCCCTATTTGATGTTGAATGATTACAAGACTTGAATTGTGGGAATCAAAAAGTCAGTGCCGTTTTCAAAGAAATACTTTTGAGTAGCAGTACATGTGAAGAAAAGCACAATGCAATTATTCTATTAATAAAGTGACCAACACACAGTCGTATATTACAGTAGAAGCACATTTCACAATGGCTTTCTAAAGTAAATCAACATGTAAAATAATTCAAATAAAGTGATACAAGTTACACTTTGTTTTTGTAATATATTTTTCTCCAAAGGCATAGATATAGAATGTATAAAATACATACTTCGATATTTATAAATTATCCGAAATACTTTCTTTGCTACACAGGACTGGCCATGCGCAAGACTACGATATTGACAATTCGGGCCTCGGCTTTCCTCCCTTTATTTGGCATTTCGTGCCAAGTGGAACAAAACACACATTTCAGGGTAGGTAGGATTTGCTCTGTCTCTTCTTTTAACTGGCAATATGACATATGCACATAGTAAACGTTTCAAACAGTACAAAGATAAACATTTAGAGTAAACTATTCATCCTCCTCTCACTGTAGATCCTAAGTCCTGCAGTCCTCTTGGGAAGTAGCCTCTGCTGAGCTTCTTTCACGTATCTTTTCTATGCATATGAATGTATATTTTAAGCACATATAGATGGTATGTATCTTAAACCTCAGAAAGAATCTCTTCTTGCTCCTTCTCTGCGGAATCACCATGGCAGCTGGGACCCTGTACACATATCCTGAAAACTGGAGGGCCTTCAGGGCCCTCATTGCTGCTCAATACAGCGGGGCTCAGGTTCATGCGCTGTCCGCACCACTCCACTTCCACTTTGGCCAAACCAATCGCACCCCTGAATTTCTCTGCAAATTTCCTGCTGACAAGTATCCAGCATTTGTGGGTGATTGCGGGTTCTGTGTGTTTGAGCGCAATGCCATTACCTACTATGGAGCAATGAGTTGCTGCAGGGAAGTACACCCGAAGCAGTAGGTGGCGCAGTGGGTGAGCTTTGCTGATAGCGGTAGAGCGCCCCCAGCCAGGACCTGGGTGTTCCCCAGCATGGGCATCAGGCACCACAACAAGCAGGCCACTCAGAATGCAAAGGAGGAAGTGAGGCGAATTCTGGGGCTGCTGGACGCTCACTTGAAGATGAGGACTTTTCTGCTGGTTGAATGAGTGACTGGCTGGCATCACAGTCGTTTGCACCCTGTTGCGGCAGTATAAGCAGGTCATAGAACCTTCTTTCCACCAAGCCTTTCCCAATTTTGTAATATATTTTATTATATTTATAATATATATCATTATTATAATATATAATTATATATAAAATGTATGTTATTTTATCTATATATAATTTATATATTATATACAAGATATAAAATATTTTGTAATATATTTTAAAATATTAAAATAATATAATATATTATATGTATTTATTTGTATATATTACATGTTAGCTCTCTTCATATTATAACACTGGTCCCTCACCTGCATTAACCAGTCTAAGTTCCCGGCTGTCTTTGGGGCGTGAACCTCGTGAAGATGGCCCAGTTATTTGTATATATTACATGTTATAACCGCTGGTCCCTCACCTGCATTAACCAGTCTAAGTTCCCGGCTGTCTTTGGGGACGTGAACCTGCGTGAGAAGATGGCCCAGTTTGATGCTAAAAAGTTTGCCGAGAGGCAACCTAAAAAGGACACCCCATGGAAAGAGCAGGATTCACAGAAGAGAAGCAGAGCCCCAGGCTGAGTGGAAGGAGAAGAAAATGGCGGCTGCCACTGCTCCTGAGGAGGTGATGGATGAATGTAAGCAGGTGCTGGCCACTGAGCCTAAGGCCAAGGACCCCTCCGCTTACCTGTCCAAGAGTACCTTTGTGTTGGATGAATATTTATTTATTTATTTATTTATTTATTTATTTATTTATTTTTTGAGGAGAGTCTCACTCTGTCGCCCGGGCTGGAGTACAGTGAGTGGCGCGATCTCGGCTCATGGCAACTTCCACCTCCCCGGTTCAAGTGATTCTCCTGCCTCAGCCTCCTGAGCAGCTGGGATTACAGGCGCCCACTGCTACGCCCAACTAATTTTTTGTATTTTTAGTAGAGATGGGGTTTCACCATGTTGGTCAGGCTGGTCTCAAACTCCTGACCTCGTGATTCTCCAGCCTCAGCCTCCCGAAGTGTTGGGATTACAGGCGTGAGCTGCCGCACCTGGCCGCGTTGGATGAATTTAAGCAGCAAGGACTCCAACAAGGACACACTCCCTGTGGCACTGCCATATTTTTGGGAGCACTTTGATGAGGATGGCTAGTCCCTGTGATACTCAAGAGTATCGCTGGCCGGATGAACTCACTCAGTCAGATCTTCATGAGCTGCAATCTCATCACTGGAATGTTCCAGCGACTGGACAAGCTGAGGAAGAATGCCTTCACCAGTTTCATCCCCTTTGGAACCAACAATAGCAGCTCCATTTCTAGAGTCTGGGTCTTCCGAGGCCAGGAGCTTGCCTTTCCTCTGAGTGCAAATTGGCAGGTGGACTATGAATCATACACACGGAGGAAACTGGATCCTGGCAGTGAGGAGACACTTGGAATCCAAATATATCCATAGCGAAAGTTCGAGAGTACTTTTCCTGGGAGGGGGCCTTCCAGCAAGTTGGCCAAGACTTCAATCAGGGCACGATCTTCAAGTGAACATCTCTTGCCAATGCCTAGCTGCCTGCATCTGCCCCTTCAGGGAGATGGGGGTCATTAAAGGAAACTGAACATTGAAAAAAAAAAGAATCTCTTCTCTCCCACATGGCTTCCTTACTTTGGACAACTTTCTTAACCTCTGCTTGTTTCAGATGACTCATCGATATAAAATTAACATAACATCACAGAATTAATTTGGAATTAACTTGTATGTTTAATAAAGCTCCTGGAAAGGTATCTGACACATAAGGGAGCACTATGTGTTAGCTATTATTGTTTTTTACACTTTTGCCCAAACTCTTGCATTAATAATGGACATAATTAACTTTGGAATCCAAATTATTCCAAATTTTTAAAAAAGTTCTATAATACAGACTGTAGAGACAGGGTAATTAGCTGGGCATGGTGATGTGCACCTGTGGTCCCAGCTACTTGGGAGGCTAAGGGAGGAGGATCCCTTGAGCCCAGGAGGTCGAGGCTGCAGTGAGCCGTGATTGTGTCACTGCACTCCATGTCACTCCAAGGTGACATGGCAAGACCTTGTCTCAAGAAACAAACAAACAAACAAAAAAAACCAAACAAACAAAAAACAGACCGTAAAACGCTTCATGAACAGATTTGTACTAAATTCAAAATAGAATTTAAAAACCCTTTAAGCATATGCTTAGACTATACAGCGTATTCACTACAGAGCAAAATGTACCTTTCCTTAGATACTTTTGCTTTAATTATAAATAGCAGAAGAAAATAAAGAAAAACACATAGGCATTTTATGGATTTATTTGAATTTGTTCATTTGCTCATTTATTCATTTATTGTACACTTAATCTGTATCTGACACAAACCTATATGAAAAAAGATGCAAATAAAATAGGCACATTCTTTATTATTATGGAATTTGCAGGATGGTGGAGAAGCCACTCCATAGTGAAATAATTATATATATGATATTGCAACGAAAGGTGATATGCAAGGGGTGTGTTTGTGAGTGTGTGTGTGTATGTGTGCATGTATGTGTGTAAGTATATGTATGTAACCTGGTCTAGTCTTGGGTGTGGCAGGGGTCTTTTCTTTGGAAGTTTGAAGGAAAAATATTTTGATGTAAGAATTTTATTTCCACCAAATTTGTCACTTGATTCTGAAGATAATTCAATTATGTTCTATTATTGAAAGGCTTATAAAATATACCACATCACTCATATGCTCTCCTAAAACAGATTATTGGATGATATATTCCAATAGAACCTCTTTCTCATTCTCTCCTTTTCTTGACAAAGCCCTTTTTCTTCCTGTTTGTACAGAAATACACAAAGTCAGCGTGGAATGCTTCCAAAAGTTTTTGTTTTCTTACTTATAGGGTGTGTGTTAATTTATGTTACTGTTTTAATTTTAGTGTATATTGTTAATAAGCATTTAATTTTATATACAATAATTATATATATAAAAATAAAAATGTTAGGCCTGTGGTATATCTATGAAAGTAAAAACAATGATCTGAGTTCACATAAAGTAACCATAATTTACTTGATCTGTCTCATACAGGTGCACATTTCAATATTACAAATGTAAATTTTTGCTATTAGACAATATGCTGCAATGAATAAGCTTGTGCATACACAGGTTGAGTATACCTTATCTGAAATGCTTGGGACCAGAAGTGTTTCGTATTTTGGATTTTGGAAATTTTCATATGCCTAATGAAATATCTTGGGAAACCCAAGTCTTTACATGCATTCATTTATGTTTAATACACACCTATGCATAGCCTGAAGGTGATCTTATACAACATTTTAAATAATTTTGTGCCTGAAACAAAGTTTGTGTATCCTGAACCATCAGAAAGCAAAGATGTCACTGTCTCAGCCACATTTGATGTTTGTGAACAATCTGTGGTTGCCACCATTCCTGACTCTGAATTTACATGCTACCAATAAAGTAATCATTGTCTTACTCTTATTCCCACATAAGCACTTAACAGTGAAATGTATGACATACTCTTCATATAGTGAAAAAATGATGTGTTCAGGGTAACAAAGCAGCACAGTAGCATCATCAGAATACTTGCTTTTGAATAACAGCAACAACAGACAACAGCAAACTTTCAGTCTCCACATAGGCATTCAAAAAATTTAGGATTTTAACCATTTCAGATTTTTTTTATTCAAGATACTCAACCTGTATATCATTTTTCACCTATGCAAGTATATGTGAGAAATATGTCATGTGTTTGGTTGTTGTGTAAAATATTGCTGCAATTTTGATAGTTATTGACAAAGTTTTGTTGGTTAGAATTGCACCAGTATCTACTCCAATCAGCAACATATGAGGATACCTGTTTTCCCATAGCCTCACTGATGGAGTGTTTTCTTGAACTTTTCAGTTTTTGCCAATGTGTTAAAATAAAATGGCACCTCAGAGTAGGCTTAACTCCTGTTTTTTAAATCATTATTAGTTAGTTTGAGCATCTGTTTGTGTTTAAAGACTGCTTACATTTTTTTGTATTTTCATAACCTTTACCCATTTTTCATTTTTTCTCATTTTTAGATATTTATATATTCTAGCAAGAGTCCATGTTTGTCTGTGACAGAATTATAAATATTTTTTCTGGGTTGCTCTTTGAATTTATGGTATTTCTTGATGTGCAAAGAGGTTTTGCTTAAAGTTTTTTATATGGCAAAAATTATCAGTCTTTTCTGTGAGAGTTCTGAATCGCAAGTCATGGTTAGATCATCTTTTTCCACTCTAAGTTTATATAAAAGTTCTCCGTAGTTTTCTTCAGTACTTCAATAGCTTCTTTATTTTTATAATTGAATCTCTGCTGGTAGTTATTAGTTGTGAAGTGCATCAGAAAAGAATCCAACTCTAATTCTATTACAGATCACCAGAGCGGAAATCTGTGTGCAAGGGGAGTTTGGCTCTGATGGATACCTGTAGCTTTGAGGAGGGCTTCCAAGAAGCTGCAACCCAAAAGTAAAGGTCAACTGGACAGATAAACACCCTTGCAAACTCTCAAGTCAGCTTTGGGATATTTCAGTTTCTAAAAGCAGATAAAGGTAATCAATCCCATGTTTATATTGCTCTGGCAGAAACAAAAGATAAATCATATCTAGAGGAAAGTAACACTATCTTAGGTTAAGAAAAATTATTTATGCAGCCAGTTTTGCAAAAACAAGGTCTGGAACATAAAAGTATCCAAGATATCCAGGTATATAAAGGGGAAAGACCAACTGAACAAAACCCAGCAGAAACAAGCATCAGAAAAGATTCACAGGGCTCTAGGTACTGATCTATCAAAACCCCTGAAATAACAATTTTACTCTGTTAAAGGACACATAATGTAAACTAGAAAATCTGGCAGAAAACTGAAAACTATAAAATGTTGAAATTTTAGGACTAAAGTATCATAGTCAAATTTAGAAATAAGTGATAAAGGTTTAGCAGCCCATTAGATGCTGTTGAGAGTAGCATCTATGAACTATTAATAATATACTGGTCAGAAGAAGATACCCAGAATGAGCATGGACACCTCAAAACAGAAAATAAGAGTCTAAGATATGTAAGTGGAATTATTTTGAGACAGAAGAGAGATAATGCGAATTTAGGAGAAATACAAGCAAATGTTAAAAGTAGCTAAATTTAAAGAAGACAGATGAACTTAAAAGCAGCAATGATCACTGACAAGTAACTTTTTGCCAGGAAAAAAATGCCAATCAAAATCCTTTATTGAGTGAAAAATTTCATTGAGAATGAAAATGAAATATATAAACTTTGGGATGAGCAATAACCGTGAACATTTGTAATCAGTAACACAGCACTAAAGAAAACACTAAAGGGTCTTCAAGCAGGAAAAAAAAAAAAACAAAACTCCAGATGAAAATGCAAAGATGCAGGAGGAAAGAAGAAACAATGGAAATTGAAATTGTGTGGTTCGACCCACTTTAATTTCCATTTTTATTTTAGTCAAAGTTCTGTAATTAGGTTATTTCTGTCTCACTGACTTTTAGTTTCATGATTTCTTTGGCAATTCCCTAAATAGAGCCTTAAGAAAGTTCATAGAGACAATATTTCTAGAATTATTGTACATGACATTTGCAGGGAAGCTGGTCCTGCAAAATGCGGCTTCATACTTTATATCCTGGCTTTAATAAAGCCTGAGCTTATACTTTCTCTTTTAATTGTCTTTAGATATTGCTCAATACTATTCTGATATTTTCTATAGCTGCAGAGAAATTTGAATCCTACCATATTTTTTTCCTCCTATTTGTTGCTGTATTGTTAAAGTCTAATGACTATACTCAGTATTAATCATTCTGGATCACTTCTCTAGCTGACTGTGTGTTCTTCTAGTATGTGTATTTAATAACATTTTTCTAGAATTGTATAAATATTTATTCATTTTTTCAAGACTCCCATTATTATTTTGCCTGTCTTCTATATTTATTACAGTCTCTCTAATTTTTCCTATTTGTGTCTTTATCTCCATTCTTCGTGCTTGACACTTCAACTTTTATAATCTGTGCCCCCTACAATATATTTTTATATGTTTCTTCTCTCCTTTGCATTCCTTCAAATTTTGTCTTCCTTTTTGCATTTATTTTTCTTTCTTTCTAATTCTTTCCCAAGTTCTAACAGATCACATTTTATTTCTTGTGTTGCCTCACTCACTATCTTTGTTCTGGATTCCTGTATTTCTGTTTTTGACTTCCTTTACAAAATGGATGGCTTCATTTAATATTTTTTAAAAAAATCATGACAAAATAACTAGCACAATTTTCATACTGCTTATGAATTTACTTTCTGAATTTTCTTCATCTACTGTTAACATTCATTGCTATTTTCCACATTTTAAAAGTATTTTCTAAATGCTTTGTTTATGTAAGCCATCTTTCTCTGATTTTTGGTGCTTTGGTTGGCTTTTATTTTTATAATGCTGTCCAAAATCTTAATTGTATTCTGAGTCAGAACTTTACTATGTGAATTTTTATAAATACTCTATTTGA